GGGGGGGCAGATTTTGTATCAGTGAGATTTCGGAATCTGGCCATGATGGTCCAGTATAGTAAGGCATAGCGTAGCAGCAGTAGGCCTACAGTACAGTACAGTACAACTCCTTTTAGTTAACTCTTATTTTCTCGTATGAGGCTTAAAGAATTAGAAATGCTGATGCAAAAGGAGAAGGACCTTTTTCATGTACATGCATCTTTTTTGTTCCAGAAATCTTGCACAGACAATGACACAGGTATGGCTCAATAAGGCAGCTCTGAGACAGGGTTATTACGACTCCAGTTCTACCGTTGTGGGAAAACCGTCATTAATAATTTATCTTGATACACACATCAACATATGGGGTGCCTTGACAGTCGAAGCAGACTTTGTGCTGTTGAGGCTAGAGAGGTGAGCAGAGTAAGCCTGATTCCCCGTTCGGACTTTTCTGTTGACATCCACACCTTGACGCTCATATGAATTTATGCAGTTGCGAGCGCAATAAAGCCTTACCAAAACAAACAAAAAATAAATGAAAGTTGAAACTAAGAACAAGAAATGGAGCTTTAATGCTAAAATGTGAAAAACTCTTCTCTTCTAGAATTGACCTCATCGGCTATAGCAGAAGTCACAAGTCATTATAATCCGTATTTCTTCTATTTAATTTTACTAAAGAAACGCTCTTCTCAGCAGCTGATGTATTGGTCATCCTCAGACATTGACGGACGATTTTTTAATTTCTTCAACAAGTGGTTAGTTCGTTGACGCTCTAGTACTGGTGTGGTCTGCTCCTTTACTTCTTCCCACTGTAACTGACCCCCCCCCATTCTACTCTGTGTGAAGGGTAGCCATAACTAGGATGAAGTCTAACTAGTGGGTGGTTGGCGGGTGCTCTGGTGTGATTTATCCTTCTTTCCTATGAAAAATAAATATTTCGTCTCTATCGCCCCTCCTTCTTTTTTATGTTTTTTACTCTCTTGTAACACCCCTAATTTTCGGCACTTATATGATCTAATTGTGTTGCAAGTGCCGTAAAACTTTTACTAAAAACTAAACTAAACTAAGAAGTCTACCTTCTGCGTGATCTAAATTGTGTCGATTAAAATTTTTTAATTAATTAATTATTTTTTTTTCGGGGGGAGGGGGGGGGGGGGGGCGTAATAACACTTTTATGAACCCTTCCAGCCCCATACACGTATATTTTCAGCAGCGCTTGTATCTCCCACCATCCCAAGAGCGTATGTTCTCAGTTTCAGGGGGTACTGAATTTGAGCCTTTTTTTCTAAATTAGCCAACCTAATTTTACTTTGATTTTTTAAATATTCGTTCATTTACCCTTAAACGCTGTATGTTATTATCTAAACTTCATTAAAAAGATACCACATTACTCTTTAGAATGCATGCCTCTTTTTCTGAAACGCTGCTGTATTGGCTGGGAGGACTGGAGTTTGCTAGGGAATGCACAAAAATGGCTGGGGCTGGAAGGGTTACAATTACGTTTTTCATCGTGTGGTATCGGTAGTCTAGAGGTTAGGCTAACAAACCAACAATCGGGATTGTGGTTTCCAGGGGCTCGAGGCTCAGCTTGGTTCAACTTGGTTCTCTCGGAAAGGCATACTCCCATTTGGCTCGGTCCTATCGGAAATGGACAGGGGGTGGGGGGGGGGGGCCTCTCGTGGCCTAAAGGTTAAGGTGTTCACCACTCTTTCAAAGGTCCCGGGTTCGAATCAGGGTAGCAAGGGAAATATTTTCTTCTCCAAAATTGTCTCCTTTCATCTTTTCTTTTCTCTTGCAATATTCTTTCGTCTGCTTTCGTCTCCTCTTTCTGTCCCCACTCTCTCTCCTCCTTTGCCCCCTCCTTTGGGCTCCTGACTCTTTCTGCAGTCTTTCTACTGCTTCTCCTTGGCTCCTTCTTACTGTTGTCTTTCAGCTACACCCCTGATCTTCTTGTAGGAAAGATCTACACCTAGCCTTCTCGGACAAGGGCGAAAAATCTTGGAGGTCCCGTGTGCAAGTGTGGTCCAAAATCGATAAGAGTAGGCTTCGATCGCCACCTGGGCAAAATTCAAAATTTCCTACCAACTGAAAATGTTTTATTGTGTCCCGAGCGCTCATATGACCTTATGCAGTTGCAAGCATCGTAAAACACTTATCACCAAAAAAAAGAAAAAAGAAAGGAAATGGACGTTAAATTCGGAGGTCTTGCCTTTTAAATAAACTCACAGTCTTGCAAGGGGCTTACACTTTACAAATTCACCCTCGCATCCTGTTCAAGTTGACAAGTTGCAATTCCCCATCAAAAGGAACTAGGGTAAATAACCCCCGAATTACAAAACAGGAACACTCATTGCAAAGGCTTTTGTAGAGTTATCGAACTTAACCAAAATTATTTGTGAAGCATGCTTTAAAAAAGTGAATTACTTCACGGATTGAAGCCATATTATGGAAATCGATACATCATGCTTATAGGTGGAGTTTTTACAATTTATAAATATAAAATAATAAAGATATGTTATACTTAAAGAATGTGGCATCAATTGAAAATCTACAGATTTGACCGTAATGTCGACTTTCGGCAAAATATCTCCATTTGTGGATAACGAGAAGTAACTCATTTAGTCTGCACGCCTCACATTAAGCTTCTAATAAATATCTATGAGGTTTTCATAAGTGAACCACTGTCATCTTTTCTGAACCTATTCCCTTCTTTAGAGCTATGTTGAGGCGCTCATATGACCTTATGCAGTTGCGAGCGCCGTAAAACCCTCTACTATATATATAT